AGGTAGGTCTACCGCTGCTTCGTCTTGAACTTGGTACTTCGAAAAGATGATCTCCTCGGAGGTCTCGTCTATGAAGAACGTCACCCACATGATGGCTTCGATGGCCGGCTGCGCCAAAATAATGTAGTGTTCCTACTTAAAATAACGGAACAGCATTAAAGCTTCAGTATGGAACTGGCGTCCATCTTAATCTGCTTTATTTTTCACTTCATCCTCCTCTTCTTTCCTGCCCCGGCCCTCGCGCTTCTTCATCTTCTGTCCAAAGGCTCATAATAATTCAATGAACACGTTAGTCTTTGTGAAGGTATGGGATATGGCACAACGGGAGCGTTGTCAACAAGGATAAATATATTAATTTCCCAACAGTTTCGGGAGGGTTCCTCCCTTCATCAGGAGATGAGTTACACTGACGTGAATTTCTAAACTTCGTTGCTGCCGCGTCCCTCTCGCCTTGAAACATGTTTGCGAGAGTGAGAGGGAACTAGGAAAAAATGGGGGGAGAAAAAAAAGAAAAAGGAAGAAACGAGAGAAAGTAAAGAAGAGGAAAAACCACTGTCAACACTGAGAACGAAAGCAACTCTCCGGGTACGTCCACATACGTTTCTTATCACGTGCTGTTCAGTTCTCGACGTGTGTCGGGCCACCCAAGATTGTCGCCGCGGTGCCGGGAGGGTTCGTGACGGCGAGCATAAAGAAAGGGTTTCCCCGTATTGGGTCGGTCGGCGTGCGGCGTGTGTAAAGGAAGGGGTTCCCGTTAATGGGTCGGTCGGCTCTTTTTACCTTTAATCTTCGTCCGTTTCCCTTCAATGGTCAACAAGTGGTAGGCGAACGAAAACACTTTGTATGTGCATGTGGAAAAAAAAGAAGAAAAGAAAAAATGAATGAAGAAAAAACGAAAACAAGAATGGACAGTGTACACGTACGATTCAGTTTTTTTCTGACTGACTCGTACGTGTACATTGTCCATTCTTGTTTTCGTTTTTTCTTCATTCATTTTTTCTTTTCTTCCTTTTTTTCCACATGCACATACAAAGTGTGTTCGTTCGCCTACCACTTGATGACCATTGAAGGGAAACGGACGAAGATTAAAGGTAAAAAGAGCCGACCGACCCAATAACGGGGACCCCTCCTTTTACGCACGCCGCATGCCGACCGACCCATTACGGGGAAACCCTTTCTTCACGCACGCCGTCACGGACCCTCCCGGCACCGCGGCGACAATCTTGGGTGGCCCGACACACGTCGAGAACTGAACAGCACGTGATAAGAAACGTATGTGGACGTACCCGGAGAGTTGCTTTCGTTCTCAGTGTTGACAGTGGTTTTTCCTCTTCTTTACTTTCTCTCGTTTCTTCCTTTTTCTTTTTTTTCTCCCCCATTTTTTTCCTAGTTCCCTCTCTCTCTCGCAAACATGTTTCAAGGCGAGAGGGACGCGGCAGCAACGAAGTTTGGAAATTCATGTCAGTGTAACTCATCCCCTGATGAAGGGAGGACCCCTCCCAAAACTGTTGGGAAATAAATATATTTATCCTTGCTGACAACGCTCCCGTTGTGTCATATCCTATATATATATATATATATATATATATATATATATATATATATATATATATATATATATATATATATATATATATATTGTGAGCATTATTCATGCGCCGCATCTTGTCATTAGTACATACTCATCATCACCAGTCTGACCCTGTGTTGTGGGGCCGAGGCTCGGCAAGTGAAAGAAGTGTCTTGCAGCAAAAACGTTGCCTTACAAGTGGTGGAGGTGCTGGGTAGTTGACACATACTGTGGTGATTTCTGAGAAGGTGACGCTGCAACCACCGAAGCGTATGTCGGTTTTGGAGTGGTATGCGAGCTCGATACTTGCTCACACGTCATGAATGCCAGTTCATCTCTGACGATGTTGTGGAGGCTGCCTGCAGAAGGTGTTATGCGGAGCTCACAAGACGACGAGGTGACCTGGAGTTGCAGGTCCTCGAGTATTATGGACCGTATCAACGCACGGAGCTCATTGTTATCGAGCTGAAATTGCCAAAGTTGTCGGCGCAATCTAGCATTAGGTGTACGTGATATACTATTTAGGTGTTAAATAATGCTATTGCAATATGGATCATCACGATGACGTGTGGTGAACTCGGTGTAGCAATTTGAAGCTGGCTTGTCGATAACCGCAAGTTGTGATATAGTGAGGGGTGACGCAGTGTTTTGCCCACCAGACGAGAAATCGCCTGACGTACTCGATGGTGACAGTGGAAGGGGGCAGCGAGAGAGAACATCTGCATCTTGGTGTCTTTTGCCAGACTTATAGATGACGTCAAAATCGTACTCTTGTAGGCGGAGCGTCCAACGACCGAGGCGACCAGACAAGTTTTTCATTGACGATAGCCAGCACAAGGCATGATGGTCTGTAATAACTGTGAAGTGGCATTCATAAAGATATGGTCAAAATTTTTGTATGACCCAGACGACAGCAAGGCACTCCTACTCAGTTATGGTGTAGTTCTGTTCAGCAGCCGTAAGAGCCCGACTAGCATACGCAATAACTTTTTCCCGTGAAGTGGCAAGCCACTGTTGAAGAACTGCACCAATGCATTGGCCACTCGTGTCGGTGTGGAGACATGTAGGTGCGTTCTCGTCGAAATGACAAAGAACAGAGTTCAATGTTAAAGCATCCTTGAGGGCTTGACAGGCACGCTCGCAGTCGTCGTTCCAAGCGAAAGTTGATCTGGATGTCAGCAGCCTATGCAGTGGCGACGCAATGGCAGCAAAATGGCTAATGAAGCGGTGTGTGTTAAGTTTACACTACTGATGGACACCGCTGGGTTCCAGTACTTCCGCGTTCTCTAGTCACCAAGTCCTCGAAGCCTTTCACAAAGACCCATGTGCAGGCCACTTGGGATTTCACAAAACACAAAGCCGCATCAGGAAACGTTTCTTTTGGCCTGGCATCTCTACTTTTATGGCCAAGTATGCTGCATCTTGCCATCTGTGTCAACGGCGGAAGCGACCAACTTCGTCTTCTGCTGGCCTTCTGCAACCCATCCCGTGTCCCGAGACACCTTTCCCCATCGTTGGCATAGACCTACTAGGACCCCTCCCCATCACGCCTGCAGGTAATTGTTGGATTGTGACTGCTGTCGGTCACCTGATGCGGTACGCAGAGACCGCTGCACTATGCACAAGTTCTGCTTCAGACGTCGCAGACTTCTTTCTCAACGCCATTGTATTGCGTCACGGCGCACCTCGCGTCCTCCTGAGTGATCGCGGCAAGACGTTCCTGTCCACCATAATCGAAACCCTGCTCACAACCTGTGGTACAGTACATAAGACGACGTCAGCCTACCACCCCCTAACTAATGGGCTGACAGAGAAATTTCATCAGACACTAATAGACATGCTGTCGATGTAGATCGCACCAAACCACGACAAATGGGATACAATTTTGCCTTTTGTGACGTTTGCGCATAACACCGCTGTTCCAAGAACTACTGGCTACTCGCCTTTCTACCTCGTGTGCGACCGTACACCGACATTCACCATCGACGTCTCTTTTCTAAATGTTCCAACTGACTCTTCGGCAACCGTATCAGAGCAGTTCATCACAAGGCTCGAGGAATGTCGGCAACGGGCTCGCCTTAATACAGAAGCTAGTCAGCAAGATCGCAAGCAACGCTACGACAGCTCCCATCGCGACGTCTCCTTCAGTCCGGTGAATGAAGCGTTGCTTTGGACGCCCATTCGCACTCCAGGATTGCGCGATTACTTTCAGTCACGCTTCATTGGACCCTATATAATCAACGAACAAACGTCACCAGTGAACTACCGTGTCACTCCCAGCGACCTTTCTTCGGATCGTCGCTGTCGTGGTTCAGAGATTGTCCACGTAAAGCGTCTGAAGCCATTCGTTCGACGTTCCGTTTCCGTCTAAGACACGTCCGGGCTGGCCGCTCAAGTGTTGGGGGGAAATAAGTGTGAGCTATTTTCATGCGCGTCATCTTGTCATATGTACATACTCATCATCACCAGTCTGACCTGTGTTGTGAGGCAGAGGCTCGGCAAGTAAAAGAAGTGTCTTGCAGCAGAAACGTTGCCTTACAAGTGGTGGAGGTGCTGGGTAGTTGATACATACTGTGGTGATTGCTGAGAAGGTGACGCTGCGACCACCTGAGCGTATGTCGGCTTCGGAGTGGTATGCTAGTTCGAGACTTGCTCACCCGTCATGGATGCCAGTTCCATTATATATATATATATATATATATATATATATATATATATATATATATATATATATATATATATATATATATATATATGCCCAGGACAAAGGAGCCGAAGGCATGAAATTTCGATTACCCTTCACTGTCGCGGCTCACAAAGTTATATCAGGATGTCCGGACGCAAAGGCCATTACTGTAAACTGGAGAGATATTAACGATCTGTGTTTACAAGCCCTTATAAGCCCTTATAAGTAAAAGATATGCCGCGTGAACTACAAGCATTCACATTTTTTGTCGGTCAGTGAATAAGTATATAAATATCAGAACCACTAAAAAAGTGATTAGGTGCTCTAAATGGCAGAGCGTGCAAAGACGCATATAAGCAGTCCAGATACCAGGATCGCCACTTAACAAATAAGGATGAGCAGAACGGCGGAGAATACAGAAAGCAGAAAAACTTATCGTTGGTTGCCCTTGCAAAAGGTTCACCTAACAATACGGAACGCGAGGTAGTCTCCATGAATGGTAGCTGCTAAGCCATTTCAGTTCACCTTTATGGAAAGTATTGGACGGGTGCCCATGCATGCTACACCAGTACTTTGATTATGAGCATTCATAAAATTTTCGCGGGCAGTTGCACCATGTACCTAAAATCTTCAGGAAGCGCTGTTTTTTCACTACATGTGCTAGCTGTTAGCATCATGTTGGCAGCGTTTCCTTTGAATTTGTCGGTTAATATGTTACGGGTTTATTATGTATGCGTTCTGTACCTCGGGAACTGACATCCATGCGGTCTTTGCGTCGTGGGTTGAATTGTCCTTGAAGCTGAATGCTATGCCTGTCAATTGAAAAAAAAAAACAAGCGCCAATTAAAATGCATTCAATAGCAAGTAAGAAAAAAATAAACATACCTTCGTCCTTGGCTCCAGAAAGTTCTGTTGAAAATTATGGACACTGCGTCTATACTGACCGTTTGATCATACTGGTAGCGAATGGCGGTTCGTTTAGAGGCCCGGCACATCCATATGCGTTCAGAGGTTTTGAAAAACTAAAGAAAAGTGCCAAAAGTATGAAAATCAAGCTGCTATTTCGTATTCATGCGTATTCAGCTCCTTGTCATTCATATAAAGCATGAAACAATTTGAGTTAGCTGAGCTACTGCTTCACCGCTAGTCTATACGTGGCTTCTCTTTTTCTCTGTGTTTTTAGAGCGAAATCATTAAGATGGATGCTTTCCGTCCATGCTTCCTCATAGTTTTGCTTATGATATGCAACGATAAGGGATCATAGAGAGACATAAAATTGGCAGCTCTGGAGCTTCTCTCGTAATTTTTTTTCTGGTTTCTCTGTGCACGCTTTCTTTCACTTTGATTAGATTAGGAGACCTATGGTGGTTCTCAAAAACAAGGTAGAAAAGTGAAAGGACCCACTAATTGCGAGAAATCGAGCACGAGAAAATACTCTTGATTCAAATGTCTATGCTTTTGTGAGCTAGAAGTCCCGGTTCATCGTTCTGTAATATCATTTATCACGTTTTCTCCAGTTCTTGAAGGCACCACTTAAGGCCATTTGTTGCTTTGTTTGTTAAATAAACGTAGCATTCCGCAGTATGTACTTCAAAAAGTTTGACGCAAATAACTGCACCTTGCGTAGGATTCATACACATATTTCCTGTATGCACTCTTAATCATGGCTTGTTGCTCACTCATATGCCGCGCTGGTCACGCAATGATCAAATAATGTCACAATTTTGTTGCGTACGTCTTCAAACACTCTCGAAAAAAAAACTGTGGCACATATACGGGAGCGGGTATGTGCCACAGGTGTAGACATATTACATCTATAGGAACGGTGCAAACACACATAGGCAACTATAACGCTTAGGCGTTAAGAAAAAGCTGCCACAGGCAGCGTTGACCGGACGAAAGCGAACAATAAATGCCTAAGTCCCAGGAGGAATCAAACCCTAGCCTTCTGCGTGGCAATGGTGTATTCTACCACAAAGCTACGCTACGCCTTGAATAGGCTTTTCATATAGACCCCTATTTATATATGTTCGTGTAACGTCACTTGTGGTTGCAGTACCAGCTATCCAATTTAATAAACACTACAAGTGTACTCATATGACAGCCCTCATGTTGGGTTAACGTAAATTGCAGTCACGCGCCATCCGTTGACGTTGATTGGTCTAGCAGTGTTGAGAGCTACCTTTGTTGCGCTCACCTGCGCAAACGCGAGCGTTTCGTATAAGCTTAATACTCCTGGTGTTGATAATATCTATGGTCACAATTGGCATTGTTACACAGCTGTAAGAGTTACTTTCCATCTTCCCTCTTTGGCTAGTGTAGAAGCTAGTCAAGAAGGAGGAAATCACTGTGAACAACAGCTATTATAAAACATACGTGGCTGTTAACGTGCTGCCTATCTATTTTCATAAACAATAAATATGTACTCTTTTGATACAGCCGTCACGTCGGGTTAACGTTCATTTTGGTTAGCTGCAATGCGCTGAAGTTGATTTATGTAGCAGTGTCGAGGGCAGGCATCTTCGCGAACATCAGCGCTTTATATCATCGTCTAGTGTTGCCACTACGCATGTCCCAGTTGTTGTTGCGTAAGTGCAAACAACTCGTTGTATCTGCAACTCCTCAACATATGTCGGTGCATGCAAGATTTGTGCATATATTTAGCGTCACTTCACAACATCTCGCTAACAAAAAAATATACACATTCACCTTTCACCCGCATGCGTCGCAAAACATCGATTCCTAAGGTACGAGGGATCCATCTGAATTTTTCATCATTGTATCGAATATCATACGTATCGATGAGCACGTTGTCCCAATAACCAATTGAAAACTTGACCTACAACTGTGATAACAAGTATATGTAGAAACGTTACGAGGCATTTAAAGGTTGACGTTGCTGTCACCATCATTTGCAGCATAAAGTATAATTTTCAAACCTCACCCCTCTGACTCGTATCTCCTCGACGTGAGTGAAAGCTCACGAGCAGCTGGTAATGAACGCTGCTCGAGGAGAGAACGGGCCGGTAACCTCCATTGCACTCACGGCGCATGCGATAATATTCAACCATTGCTTTGCGGGGTTAGCGGAATAGCGGGATTGAAATGCGCAGTACGCTAAACAACCACTAGTGTGTAGACCGTACGTGCGCTTTTTTTTGCAGATGTAGCTTTACCGTGCTTGCGTCGTTAACGTAGTGCTTTTTGAAAATGGTGGCGGTTTCGGACGCCTGCGTCGATCTGAATTTAGCGTTAGTGATGACGGACTCACTTCTTTGGCAGGAAACAACTGAGCGAAATACTTTCGCTGGCCTTTTGGTAAATTCGATGACCGATAATAGTGGATAACTTAGCGTAGCTTTTCGGCTTGCTTCCCAATTCGAAATATCCGTAGACTTAACTAGAATATTCGTGTGAAGATATGTTTGACATTAGAATTTGCGTTTTGGGTTAATAGTTTATTTCTTTTTACTTTTCTTGCTACTAAAAAGTAATTAAGTGTGGATATATTGTTGCGTGCGACGATGCAGGCGGGAATTCTCAGTATTCTTTCATACTTTTTGTCTACGCCTTCATCATCCGCTAAGTGACACCACTATGCAAGCTTGACCACGTAAATGCCCTGCTGCTAAGCTAAAGCGCACTGTCTTCAACGAACTCTTGCGGCATAGTAAAACGCCATTTCTTTACCTCTGCTATCACGCTAAGGCTTAACTATGTTCAATTTCCTCCCACGTGCGAGGCCTGCCAGCGAAAGCTCACAGAGACCAGAGAAAAAAAACAGCCAGCCCGTGTTTCAGCTGGAGCGTGCGAAAACATCGGGTGACGTAGGGGATAGTGGAGACACAGTAGCGTGGTAGGTAAGCGGTGTATGCTGCGTACTCGAAGAGCTTATTCGCTTCCACGCACCTTAATTTGACGCGCATTCGTACACTACTCGTGTCCGCTTCCTTTGCTCTTAACGCTTACTTAGCACTCAGGAAATTGGTAATACAAAAGCTGCTTTAGTTGCTGAAGTGAGAATATTGCACTGAACCAGAGCTTTGTTCGGTTACGCGAAACTGGATGCAGAGAGGCTCCAATCGTTTCTTCGTATAACACTAAAGTTTAATGATATCGCATTTACCGCTTCAGCTTTCAGGCGAAGGCTTAACCGTTTTCCTTGCTTCCACGTTTAGGTGTGCTGGTAGCTTTTGCTGTCCGGTATAGTTTGAAAATATGCAAATAATATTTCAGAAGCCACATAGCACCTAATATTATTCAACATAATTGAATATATGTGGGGTTTAATGTCCCAAAACCCTATTAACCAACATAGGATAGCACAAAGGGGACCGCCCCATTTCGCATGGCCCTTTTGCTGTCTATCTGAACAAAAAATAGCTTTGAATGAACGCTCAGTTTTTCAGCCTCACATCAATATTTTATACTCAGACGACCCGTGAGAACAAGTGGAGGAATTTCTGCAAACACACACAAAAATGACCTATATGCTTAAAAAATGTAAACACAAAAATCTTCATCGCATCAACAAAGGAAGCCCATCATTCCTGGTCAGGAAAATTCCGGTCTTCTGATAGTAATCTTTAGGCACAGATGATCAAGCTCCTCGTGTGTGAATAATTAATTAGGCTCTATGTAAGAAACGGCAGCCATGCGCTAAACAGTCGGGAGTCACTGCGAAACCGGGAAGAGCTGTCTTTCTTGAGCCGGAGTGAAAAAAATACTTTGGACATGTTACGCAGTAATTGCAGCCAGCTGGTGTGATACGCCAGTGAAAAGCAAACCGGTGGCGCCAGGCAATTACTCCGGCCGACAAGAGTCAAATATCATTAAAAAAGTACACCGGCTGCGCTATGTAATTACTCTGATCAGCCGGAGTAAAAGTTACTTAGAACAGAGGGGTTGCTAGGGAACAAGTATTTTACTTCCACTAGCGAGTAATTTTCTTCTAAAACAGTGTAAATAGTAATGAAGTTATTCCAACGTATTTTGTGGTGTCGCTGCTGATTACCTATTTTACTTTAATACAACGCAAATAAAAAACCTGAAACGCATACCTCTATGAAGCAGGCGTTTTAAAGGGTTAATGTCAATTGTGAATAAAGTGTTGGCACTACTTTAACAGAAACCAAAAAATAAATATATACATTTATACAATTCAACGAGCTATACAGAAGCGTTGCTCGATTTCAGAAAAGTGTGCTTAAAAAGTTGCATATAATAATTAGCAAACCACCCTATAAAATACACATGGTTTCTATAATACTAATGTATCTTCTATAAAACTGTTGCTCACGTTGTGGCCTTTATTCGTTACTCATCTAACGCTAGTGTATTCGACGTCCCTAATTACGCCACGGTGTACATACAACCACTACACTTGCTAAAATAAGTTGATATATTGGGAGCCGAAAAAAATCAATACAAGTGATTTCTTGGCGACTACATTTTATAACGCTCAATTTTTAGGACACTGACTCTGCCTAACTTTTTTGAAAAATAATTGTTTTTTTTATTCACGTGAAAGCACCTTCTTGAGCCATGTAAGGAAAGACCATTTAAATAATTCGAAAAAATATAATAACTTACTTGCTTGATTGAGTATCTGTATAAATCAGGTGTTGTTAGATAATTCTTTGTATTCGTTTTACCGGCAATGTAAAGTACAATCATCGCCACAAATACCTTTTTGTACATGGTAGTAAAGTGGTAGATCTGTATATGACTAGACGTGTAAGTAAAGTGTAAGTTCCACTTCACCGGACGTCGGTTCACTACTCTTCTGCACCTCTGCAGCAATATGATAACCTAGTGAAGCCTCATACTTTCATATTGAATTTTTTCAAAGCATTCCGAAGGACTTATTTCATAATTGTCAAGCTGTAAGAGTACTGAACAATGAAGCGTGTCGAGCTGACCTGTCATTCGCAAGAAAGAGCCTTCTATTGCGTCACTTTTGTTTATGTAGACATTGTGAAACCTTCAACAATGTACTCAAAAACAGTGCAACCAAGTATAAAGTCGTCCAGATAGAAACGTTTTTTGCCGTCCTCACAGCCGGAGTTTATCAAAACACAATGAATATTTCTCCCTTTTCTTGCGATAGAACTGCTAGCGCGCCGCCATCTTTAAGCAACAACTGCGAAGAGAATGTAAACAAAGTCTACGAAGCTAATGAGCATGCTATTGGGTTGATTGTTAAAACGAATGATGCCTAATGTCTGTAATATTCACTTAGGAAAGCCGAGAGCTATTCCCGATCGTTTCTGAACTCTACACACAAGGCAGCGTTTTCTTTTTTTTGTGAAGCGATATTTGCGTGGTGGTTACCTCCATGAGGCAGGTAGCAGGAACACACTGCATAAAATTAGCACAGCGTGGCGGAACAAGGTACTACTATGAACACATTGGTAGCGATGACCTGGAACAGGCGGTCTGCCACGGTGGTGAAGCCGTTAAGGCGCTTGGCTGCTAACCCAAATGTTGGAATGTTGCGAGTACAATCCCAGATAATCTGGTCACATTTTGATGGAGCCTAAACGCTGAGAGACCGTGTGCTGTTTAGTGTCAGTAAACAGTAATGACCACCATGTCGACAAAACACCTGGAGTACTCCACTACTGTGCGCCTCATAGGGGTTATAACGTGTAAAACCTATGATACTGCAATTACTTGGAGCTGACGATTCAGCACAGGACAGAGTCTATGGCGACTAGTGCCAAAAGTGCAAGACGTCAGGTCCTGGTAGACTCAAACAGGACAATTTATGGCTAAGCAAAGCGGTTTCTTTTGGTTCTACGTGTCGTAAATGCGCGTAGTATTGACAAAATTTGACACATACCTACATCATAGGTAATATCACTTCAGACTCACATTTGTGACGATAATACGCTATTATGACAAAAAGAGTTTATGCTTGTTGATTATGCTATGTCACTATAAATTGAGAATAAAGGCAAATATTTTAGCCTTTTTTATCATTGTTTATTCCAATCTTCGGAAAGCTTTTTCTTTGCAAAAGACAACATATGGTCTAGCGTGTACGTGAACTTCATCTAGGCTACTTAATAGCAGATGTTTTTCAAAACAAGCCGTGAACTGCTCTTATGATGGCATCCACACGAATTGTTTGATGGCGCTAGACCTAGGTGTTATACTTAGTACTTGCCAAATCCGATACATATACAAGGACGTAGCATATACAGTATCTCTACTGGTGAATGCATTATGAAAAGATGTGAGATGGCGGTACTTAGAGTGTTCACTAAATAGACGGGTGGATGGATAGATTTAGAGGTGGACGCATGGACTGACGGATGCAGGGAAGGACAGACAAACAGAGGGGTGGACGCAAGGACGGACGGATAAATGAACAGACAGAGGGACAGCCGCACGAACAGACGCATGGACACATGGACAGACAGAGAGATAAATGAATGGACAGACGGAAAAACGGACGGATGGACGCACCGATGGTCAGACGGATCGACAGAAGCTAGAGCGAATGAACGGACGGATGCAATGACAGACTGACAGAGGCTTCGTCCACTAATCATTATTAACTCTGTTATTCACGCTGTGTTTTTTGTGTGTTACCTCTCAGAGGCAGAGGGCATTAAAGTATACAGCGGCGCTTTTAACGAACCATGTCATCATCATCATCATCATCATCATCATCATCATCATCATCAGCCTGACTACGTCCACTGCAGAACAAAGGCCTCTCCCATGTTCCGCCAGTTAACCCGGTCCTGTGCTTGCTGCTGTCAATTTATACCCGCAAACTTCTTAATCTCGTCTGCCCACCTAACCTTCTGTCTCCCCCTAAGCCGCTTCCCTTCTCTTGGAATCCAGTTAGTTACCCTTAATGACCAGCGGTTGTCCTGTCTACGCGCTACATGCCCGGCCCATGTCCATTTCCTCTTCTTTATTTCAACTATGATATCCTTTAGCCCCGTTTGTCCTCTAATCCACTCTGCTCTCTTCTTGTCACTTAAGGTTACACCTACCAGTTTTCTTTCCATTGCTCGCTGCGTCGTCCTCAATTTAAGCTGAACCCTCTTTGTAAGTCTCCAGGTTTCTGCTCCGTAGCTAAGTACCGGCAAAATACAGCTTTTATATACCTTTATCTTGAGAGATAGTGGCAATCTACCTGTCATAATTTGGGAGTGCTTGCCGAATGTACTCCACCCCATTCTTATTCTTCTAGTTACTTCCATCTCGTGGTTAGGCTCTGCGGTTATTACCTGCCCTAAGTAGACAAAGTCTTTTACAACTTCAAGTGCACTATTACCTATCTAGAAGCACTGCTCCTTTCCGAGGTTGTTGTACAGTACTTTCGTTTTCTGCAGATTATTTTAAGACCCACCTTTCTGCTCTCCTTGTCTAACTCCGTAATCATGAGTTGCAATTCGTCCCCTGAGTTACTCTGCAATGCAATGTCATCGGCGAAGCGCAGATTACTAAGGTATTCTCCATGAACTCTTATCCCTAACTGTTACCATTCTAGACTTCTGAAAACCTCCTGTAAGCACGCGGTAAATAGCATTGGGGAGATTATGTCCCCCTGCCTTACACCCTTCTTTATTGGTATTCTGTTGCTTTCTTTATGAAGCACTATGGTAGCAGTTGATCCTCTGTAGATTTCTTCCAGAATGTTTATATATACTTCATCTACACCCTGATTCCGCAGTGTCTGCATGACGGCAGATATTTCTATTGAATCAAACGCCTTCTCGTATTCTATGAAAGCTATGTATAGTGGTTGGTTATATACTGAGCATTTCTCTATTACCTGATTGATAGTATGAATGTGGTCAATTGTTGAAAAGCCTGTTCGAAATCCTGCTTGTTCTTTAGGTTGATTGAATTCTAATGTTTTCTTTACTTTGTTAGCAATTACCTTTGTAATTAGCTTGTATACTACAGAGAGCAAGCTGATCAGCCTGTAATTCTTCAAGTCCTTGTCATCTCCTTTCTTATGTATTAAGATGATGTTAGCGTTCTTCCAAGACTCTGGTACCCTTCCCGTCAGGAGACACCTCGTAAACAGGGTGGCTAGTTTTTCTAACACAATCTGTCCTCCATCTTTCAGCAGATCTGATGTTTCCTGATCCTCACCAGCAGATTTGCCTCTTTTCATGCTGTCCAAAGCTTTTCTGACTTCTTCTATCATTACTGGTGGGGTGTCATATGGGTTACTGCTAGTTCTTATAGTATTAATGTCGTGGTTGTCTCGGCTACTGTACAGATCTCTGTAAAACTCCTCCGCTATTTTAACTATGCTATCCATATTGGTAGTTATTTTGCCTTCTTCGTTCTTAATGCATACATCCGACTTTTGCCTATCCCAAGTTTCTTCTTCCCTGCTTTGAAGCTTCCTCCGTTTTTCAGAGCGTGTTCAATTCTCCCCAGGTTATACCTTCTTACATCGCATACTTTACGCCTATTAATCAACTTTGAAAGCTCTGCCAGTTCTATTTTGTCTGTTGTACTTGACACGTTCATGCTTTGACGCTTCTTAATTAGGTTCTTCGTTTCCTGGGAAAGCTTGCCAGTGTCCTGTCTAACTACCCTGCCTCCAACTTCCACTGCACACTCCGTAATGATACTCGTTAGATTATCATTCATTGTATCTACGCTAAGGTTGGTTTCCTCACTAAGAGTCGAGTACATGTTCTACAGTGACACTCTGAATTCCTGTACTTTCCTTCTCAGTGATGGCTCATCAATTGGCTTCTTGCGTATCAGTTTCTGTCGTTCCTTCTTCAAGTCTAGGCGAATTCGAGATCGTACCATTCTATGGTCACTGCATCGTACCTTGCCAACCACTTCCACATCCTGCAAGATTCCTGGGTGTGCAGTCATTATTAAATCTATTTCGTTCTTATTTTCGCCATTAGGGCTCCTCTATGTCCACTTGCGGTTTTCTCGTTTTCGGTAGAAAGTATTCAAAATCCGCAAATTATTGCGTTCTGCGAATTCTACTAGTAGCGCTCCTCTGGCGCTTATAGGGCCGATGCCATAATCTCCTACTGCCTGGTCTCTAGCCTGCTTCTTCCCTACCTTTGCATTAAAGTCGCCCATCACTATAGTATACTGTGTTTTTACCTTACTCATTGCCGATTCCACGTCTTCATAGAAGCTTTCAACTGAAGCGTCATCATGGCTGGATGTAGGCGCGTAAGCCTGTAATACCTTAATCTTGTATCTTTTATTCAGTTTAATCACAATACCCTTTCATAAATGCTGTAGTATTCCTCTTTGTTGCCAGCTATGTTTCTGTAAATTAGAAGCCCCACTCCCAGTTCTCTTCTGTCTGCCAAGCCCCGATAGCAAAGGACGTGCCCGTTTTGTAGCACAGTATAGGCCTCATCTATCCTCCTAACCTCACTGAGCCCTATTATATCCCATTTAACACCCTCTAGCTCCTCGTATACTACAGCAAGACATCCCTCACTAGATAAGGTTCTAGCGTTAAACCTTGCCAAGTTCAGGTTTCAAAGGCAGCCTGTAGTGCAGAGATTCTTAGCACCCTTTGCTGCGTTGCAGATCTGACCGCCGCCATGGTCAGTTGCTTCGCAGCTGCTGGGAACTCAGGGCCGTGAGTTATTTGACGTATGCATGTGGGAGGTAGTTGCCAGATACTGCACCAAGGTGGGCAATCCTTCTCTGGTGAGGGAGTGCGTTGCCGGCAGTGGTTACCGGTGAGGCTGCACCTCAGGCCTCCTAATGTAGTTCCATCAACACGCGGATTTTTTTCCGGTTGTGAGCTGCGCGGCACCGGGATTTGAACCACGGACCTTTTGCATGC